CGGGGCCCTGAAGGGGAACTTAGCTAAAATGTTGCTTATAAACGCATCTCCTCCTTAAAACCAGAGACTATTTTAACCAATTTTGCTCTGAAACGTCATTGCGGGAGGGCAATCATTTACTAAATAAATGAGGCTGGTTCAACGCCTGGGGCTAAGAAGGCTGGACCCCGAAAAGGATAGTTATCTAATATTTTGCTTTAAGACGCTAATACCCCCTAATTGCCCGAGTGCATTGTACACAATTTTGTCAAAAGCGTTTTTGGGGTAAGAACAAACATTTCTTATTTGAATGAGGTTGATTTGACCCCTGCAGTTCTAAGAAATGATACAGCAAGATTGTCATATTCTATGGTGTAGTTTTCATAAATTAATAAAAATTGGTTTCTAGGTTTATAAAAGCATATAGTTTTGTTTAATTACACCCTGTAATATGACATAGTATTTATTTCAAAATCTGTTAATACGGCAACTCAATGGAGGCCCCTGATAAGTTGAAAGTCAGTTACTGTGGTCCCAGTTGGGTTAGAACATAGATCTTGTCTGGTTGTAAGGAAATTTCATATAAAGATGCACTTATGCATTCAGTTGTAATGACTTATATATAAAATGAGGTGAGCGATAAAGGTCCCATATACCTCTAGTTGAATTCCTTTTTGTTGATGCCTTGATGTGTATTTTTGCTGTTATTTAGTTAAAGCTATATTTATTTAGGTAATAGATTGTGTACAATTGCATTTTACGAAAATGATTGTAAAACAAGTACTATTTTCAGTCTTTTTTATCTGATGTTATGTGATTTATCAATTGGTTTGTGATCTTGAAAATCTAAAATAACTCTTAAGATTCATGAGTAGAACTGTTTAAAAGGCAGTCAAAATGTATACTAATTAATTGACTGGAAGTGCAGGATGTTGAAGTGGATTTTATTCAGATTATGATTTTACAACTTCATTATTCTAATAAAAATAGTAGCTTATGATCAGAAGTTGTTTATATCAGGACGAGGATTCAAACAGCATGGTGTTTAATGAAATATTTTTATTTGTTAATCACATATACTTATGCCACACACAGTACCAGTTTAGCTTATGGTATGGTGTGTTGTCCATCGTCTGTCCTCTGTCGTCCGTCAATTTTTTATTTTAACGACTTCTTTTTAAGAACTGGAAGACCTAGGGTCATGTGTGTGTGTTTGTTTGTTTGTTTCTGTTTAATGTCCTTAATCATTAACAGCTATGGTCATTTAAGGACGAGGCAGGTTTTGGTGGCGGAGAAAAGCCGGAGTTCCCGGAGAAAAAAACACACCGATATACGACCAGTACCTGGCGACTGCCGAAAGGAGGCCACGAACCCGTGACCCAGTGGTGGAGGGCTAGTAGTTGCAGAATGTCAGAAGCCTTAACCACTTGGCCACCGCGGCCTAGGGCCATGATATTCGGCCAGTAGGTACCTGGGAAGGAGTGCAATAAAGTTTCCTCAAATAAATTACCTTGCCCTATTTTCAAGGTCACAGGGGTCAAATATGTAAAAACTTCTAAAAAAACTTCTCCTGAGGCCCAAAGTTAGGATACTTGGCCAATAGGAACATGGCATAAAGTGCTATAACGTTTTCTCAAATAAATGGCATTGACCTTTTATCAAGGTCATAGTGGTCAACTATGTATAAACCTCTTCTGAACAACCAGGAAGCCCTTAGTTATGACACTTTGCCAGTTGGTACCTGGCATCAAGTGCTATAAACTTTCCTCAAATATGTGACATTGACCTACTTTTAAGATCACAAGGGTCAGATAAATTAACCTTTACACAACTTCTGGGGTCTCAATTTTGTATAAACGGCGGGGGTAGCTCCTCTTGGTGCAGAGGGGGCTCAATAGGGGAATTTGAGGTTTAAACCTTACAAAATCTTTTTCTTTACCAATGGAGTAATTTTAACCAAATTTAGTCTGGAGCATTCTGTGGTGAAAGGAACTAAATATTGTATAATCGGTAGTTGTGGCCCTTCTGGGTGCAGCAAGATTAGACCCAAAAGGGAAATTTGAACTTTAAATCTTCAAAATCCTTCTCCTTCAGTATATTTGAGTTATTTTAACCAAATTTAGTCCAGATCATCATTTTGCAAGGGGGACTCAATTTATTTTAACAGAGTGTAGTCCTCCTGGGAGCAAAGGGGAAGGGTCCAGTAGGGGGAACATAGTATTAAATGTTTAACATAATTAATTGCCTTTAGATTATTTGGAGGAATTTTAACCAAATTTTGTGGAGAGCATCCTTGGGGAAAGTGGACTAAAATGTTCATAAATAGATGGTTGCTTTTAAAGAGCAGTCTTACAACCATAAACGCAATAAGAATAATTTTCCATGATTGCTTTATCATTCAGGTGAGCGATACAGACCCTCTGGGCCTCTTGTTTATCTATTCTCAGAAAGAAATTATTCCAACCAAATAGTTCTGATGAAATTGAAATCAAATAGTATCAGAGAGCAAAATAATTTATTTGAATATTTGAATATTTTTTAAGTTCTTTTCCTTTGATGACATGACAAGTATTGTATTTCACTTTGTTTACATGCTGATTTTCAATGAAATTAACCAACCTATATAAAAAAAATGTTTGCAATTATTTTTGTTGTGTGTTTTATAACATACATGCTAATAGACAAAAAAAATGCTGTTTATTTTGTGATAATTTCCTGTTAGTTTATTTTTCTCATAAGAGTGTAAACTTGAATTTAATAAAAATGTCATGTTATATCTAATAAATAGCTGCGTATAATGCCTTTAACCTTTTCGCTGCCACAGTGAAAAACCTTCATTTTCTCTCAGGCCAAGTTTTCAGCATTATTTTTAAATATCTTGTTATGTTGTCGTTGCACTATGATGTCAACAATGTAGGTGTAGACCCAATGACGTTTTTTTGAATTACTACATCATACTCAAACAATCATATAAAACTATTCCAGTGACCTAGAACCACAGATTATACATATATGGAAAGCTTTAATCATCATATATTACAGTTGTACTTGATATAATTAAATGTAAACCAGTACTTAGTGGGCAAAAGGGCCAAGTGAGCTTATGCTGTGGCGTGGCGTCCGGCGTCAATATTTACATTGTTTTCTTTTTTCTCAACTACGTTTACTGACATTTAACGAAATCAACCATCCACTCTCAACTTACTTTTGTTCGGGAATGATGAGCTTACAGATGACGAAAATGCTTACATTTTTCATCTGTGCAAAACTTCATCCATTCTAAAAGATTTGACTAAGTTCTATTCATTATACAACGATCCTTTGTTTCACATCACCTATTTTCTCTCTTTCTATTATTATTGACACGGGCATCTATATCCCCCCCCCCGTACCCC